TCACTTCTTGACATGGTCCCTCCGGCCGGATGAAATGGCTGAAGAAATGAGACAGTACAAAATTAACCGAAGGAACGCCAAAGGGAATCTCACAAGACAGGTACATAGATTGCAACATGTCATCCAAGAGGAACACCCGAACCTGATTAATTGTAAAACTAAGCTGCAGTCATTGAAAGGCTTTTTCAGTACTTTAAAAATAAACATGCAGAATTGGTGAACGTCGTATACTGTAGTCTGTTGTGTTATGAAGAAAAAGCAAAATTTTGGGTAGATTCTTGGCAATTATGTTAAAACAACTCTAAAAACACTACTTATTAAGACAAAAGTGGGTGCCAGTTGGTGGGGCTGAGGGAGTATATACCCTCCACCTGTGAATTTTCCTCTCCATGTCCCCTCTATTTCAAATTCCTGGATCCAGCACTGGTTCTTAGTGTACCTCAAGTAAGACAGATCATTATGAATCACCCTCATCTGTTTACCACTTTCATATATGTATTATACGTATACACAATATATATAAAGGGAGATAAATTCAAGTACTGTATACACAAATTATATAAAGAATATATAATTGGAGATAAACTTTCATCTATTATTGATGACTACTCAAATGCTCAAAAAAACTAAAAGACTATAACTTTCAATCTAATTCAGTCAGTGATACAAAATCGGAAATGTTGCCCCCCCCCCCAACCAAAAATGTGAATTATTGCTATGTACCAGCTGACTAAATTTACATTGTATAAATGGAGCAGATAGCTACATGCGAGAGGTGATAACGCTGTTTCAGTTTCTAAAGGTAAATGGTACTGTACATCCATCTGGCATCACTGGAGCATCTTTGTAATTACTTTTTCCCCACCAAATGGAGTGTTTATGGAAAACAGCAGCGTCGTTCATGTGAATTACTGTGATAAAACTCAATTGCTCGTTAGTTTGGTTTTGGAGTCATCATTAGAGATCTTCCTTGGCAGCTGATGCTCTTAATCTTCAAGCCAGGGACCTCCTCTCATTTATGTTGTTTGCTGATTTGCTCCAAGGTTCTTCACGCTCTCAATTTATTGGGGATTCTGCACCAATTCTGTTGAGTTTAGCCCAAGTCTTTTTTCCAAGTTTACAACATTTTGGTTACTGAAAAGGCAGTCAACAAACTGCTTAATGTATACAAAGTTAATTGCTTGGACCATCAGTCTACGATTCGGGGTGTTGTAACAGAGCTTTTGTAGCAAAATGATTAACTGGAATTATATGTTTCTTGAAAGATGTAGATGGAAGATTTAAACTACCACGATTTACTGTTTTTGTTTGCGAGCTTAATTGTATGGACAGTTTATCTCAGGTTTGCAGGAACAGTACCAGTGTGTCGAATGTTTTTAACTGGTTTTGTCATCGGCACCCAACAACTCTTATTTTATTTTTATTTTTCAGAACAAGGTAAACTTTTTTGTGAATTAAAACTGTGACTCAATGGAGCAGTGTATAACAGGCACTGCTGGTGATGTTCGGACGGTTGTAGTATTCATCCCATTCAGTCCCTGCTAACCTTAATAGGGTTTACATGAGACGGTGTCTTTTAAAATAACCATTGCATTGTTTTGTTGAAGAAGTGTTAGGATATGATCCAGTATGATGCCAAATATATCGTAGTACCTAATCTTGAGTCCCCCTGTTGACAAAGCAATTCTTAACTGGAAGATCAGATCAGATGTGAGAGTTTTTGGTTTTCTGAGGACAAGGGGACATTATGGAAAGTATTAAGTGCAACATCAACTGAGGCAGATATGTTAACACCATTCAGTTAGTGGTTCCTACTACACTGTCCATTACCAAAAAACTGTCCAAAAAACTACGATGTTATATGGTACAGGAAATGACTTCCCATCAAATACATATATTTTGCGATTCTTCCGAACATGCTTACCGAGCAGTCGCCTACCTTCGAGGTGAAAGAGATGGGGAAATCAGGACAAACTTTGCAATGGCTAGATCTAAAGTAGCTCAACTTAGTATGCCTAGACTTGAGTTAAGTGCGGCGTTGGTGGGTTCTAAACTTCTGAAGTTCCTTAAGAACGAGTTAACCCTGGCGATAACTGAGATGCACTTGTGGAGTGATTCAACCACGGTCCTTAAATGACTCTGTTCCGAAAACTGCCGTTACAAGGTGTTCGTGGGCACTAGAGTCACAGAGATTTTGCAGTTACAGAAAAAAGGGCATCATACACTCAAAACTATTGGGATATGTGTCCTCTGGTGGCAGAGACTTAGACCCAGTCACCCTGAATGTATTTCTGATGGGGCGTTCAGATCCAGTTTTACCACAAGTTATCTATTCTGAAAACGACAAAATTGGTACAGAGAGAGAGAAAACCTTGCTAAGGGCGATTGTGTATTATGATTGTCGACAAACTACTTCCACATGGACTATGGCCTGGGGGTAGAATCACAGTAGTTAAACCTAGCCTAGATGGAAGAGTGCGCACCGCAGAAGTGGAGGTAGCCAGCAAGACATATGTTCGGCCAGTGATTAAACTTATTAAATTACCAGAGTTGACGTAACTGTCTAAATTAGCCTGGTGTTAACCTCAGATGAGGTACCGTAAGATAATGTTGGATTATGTTAAATGGTTGCTAGATTGCAATTATTAGTTCAGTTCGATGAAAGGCAGATTTGTTCCAAATTTGGGGGAGGCAGTTACGAACTGCCAGTACCTTTCTTGTTAATGATTTATATGTGGTGCGCCCTCAATTACTTGTTGTAATCACAAAATGCGAAGATTATGAATCTTTTAAGGATTAGATCAATGCCAGATGGTAAAGTTAGGATTATGTTTACACTGTGTTATGACCGTTCAAAGTAAGCTAGCATGACCCATTTATGCTATACAGTACCGAGAGCAGAATCAAATAAAAACCGACAACGGCATTAGGTTTGTGAGAGGTGAGCAAGAGCTTCGACTAGCGGTAAACACATGCAGACACATGTGAAGAGAAATTCAACCCTCCAGCAGCTTCACATCAAGGTGGCATACTATATACATATATTAGGACAGTGCGAAAGGTTCTCAGGTCTTTAATGGTGGAGCAAGCTGTAAATGATGAGACCCTTCAAACACTTTTCTGCGAAGTAGAGATGATCATAAGTGGAAGGCTCATTACCAAGTTCTACGACCCCAGAGGTTGTTAAGCTCTAACGACAAACCATCTGTTGCTGTTAAGGGTAGCAACAACTTAAACTCAATACACCACTGAATCTGTTTCGCAAGGTGGGGTTTTGTTACAATTAGTACGCACACTGAACACTTTTTGCAGCAGCTCTTTGTACGAAGATGAAGAATATATTGATTAAGGTTCTGTTAATGAAGTTTATTATGGGTTTTATGGTAGGCCTATATCCTCCTGGTAGACATTTGTTTAATACAACACAATCACTCATAACGAAAACGTCCAGTAGAAATGCAAATTTTCAGACACCTCCACAAAAGGTTGGGGAGTGTGGACAAAGAACAATCAAGCCACAGGCTTTTGGAACAATTTAGACTACAAAACATGCCTTCCAATTATTCTGTCTTTATACTGAAATAACACTTTCAGGGCTAAAACACTGATTTCCAAAGTGGTTCAGTCTTCACAAAGAAAAGAAAACAATTGAAGAAACAAAATTAAAAAAACAATTTCTTAATATATTGATAATACAATAATTTACATTGGAGAATAATATGCATGGTAGAAAAATACAATGGTGTAATCTTATAAAGGATTTGAAGTCCTTAAAATTTAGAAGTGTCATTGATTCAAAGTTTATTTTAATATTATCTAGGAGGTTGATCAATAATTTAGTTGATTTGTAAAGTTTTCTTTTACCTTGCATATTATTCTATCCAATCTGTTTAAATTATCAAGTGTCTTTCCCACCAACTGACTCAGGGATTCTGTTGACAGCACAGAAATTAAGCATCTTATAACTGCGCTCGAAAAGAAACCTATGACTCACTCTTCAGTGCAACCATTTGTAGAACTTTTTGAATCATGGGGTAAGAACGACAAAAGCAATCGTATTGCTGGCACTTGCACTAACGATGAGGCTATCGGACCTCGCACTCAGAAGCCTCATATTTTCTGTGAAACGCACTGGTAAACCAATGATCTTGACCCTGAAACAATTTGAATTTCACGATACAGCTATTTGGGATTAAAAATGATATTCATCGCAAAGGATATGTAGTAACTATCCCCTCAGCAGCAAACAACTTTGTTGATCCAGTTGACTTTAGGTGGAACAATTGCAAAGCAACTAAATTCCACATCAAACTCGCTAGCCTCGGCAATGGTGGATACAGTGCAAAGTCCTTCCGCCCAACAGCAGCAACAATCGCAATAGCATCTGGCAGTGATCCAGACATTGCACAAAAATCGGAAGGTGGGAGTGTTCATCGGTATTTATGAACAATATGTATAAGGTATTTGAGAATGAATGAGTAACAGACTTTTTGATCTGAAATGTAACAAAAATGACCAAATTTCCTATGTTATAAGTAATTGTTCACCTTTTAAATACTTGTGTGCTGGTTTATATGTAAGGCCTATAAAAAAAAATTTTTAAAAACTCGTTTAGCGTCCATGCCGGACTGACAAAAAAGGCCCAACCTGATTTTTTTCTTTCCTCTATTTACTTTCTTAGTCCCAAAAAATTATGATAAATGTATTTTGGGATCTAAAAATTTGTAATTGTACCATACAAATTGTTGTCTGAATGATGTATTTCTTTCATGTATCTTTGTACAGTACCGGTACTGATGAAGTTGATCCCCACCCCCAACCTCTCCATGAACAAACCCAACCTGCCTAAGAAAACAGAGGTCACCTATTACTTCCCAGGAAATGGTATATGTTTGTTCTGTGGATTGGAAGAAGAAGCAGACACACTCCTTCAAACCAAAAAATTAACACTTTCACCGACAAACGACAGAACCAAGTAATTGACCGCCAAGGACAGAGTCTCCGTCTTTAAATTTTTTTATCACATTGAGTCACAACTACAGTTAACCTCACCAGGGATTTAGTGTTTATAGAATGTGGCACTAAATAAATTGATATAGCAACTTAGATTTTATTTCGGTTATGCAGTTGACTTAATAAAAATGTACCTGGATGGTCCAAAAATATCTTATGTCGCATCAATTTCATTCACTTGAATCACTGCCCCACTGACATTTTTTGAAAATTTGGACGCTAAACAAGGTATTTTTTTTATATGGCCTAATGTGTGGAGTGCGCTGCCAGCGTCTCCGCCAGGCCAAAGTAAGTGAACACCAAAATGCGAGTGTTATTGATTGTAAAACGTAGGCGAGAGGTAAATTATGGAGGATAGAATTATCATTTACAAATACTAAACTGATGCTTGTTGAACTTAGTTATAATATTCTATTAAAACAAATTTGCTGTTATTCACACGATATTGACAACCCAATTTCCGTAAGTGTCTTTGTGGTTTAACCGTAAAATGGCCGGTCGTAATATGATCAGATTTCCTAGAATGAGTGGCTGTGATTGGTGGAATTACGAAGTATGATAGAAATCTGACAAATGAACAGCACGGTAATATGACAATCCATCCTAAGATATTCTAAAATCATAAATTTCACGAATTTTTCCTTAACTTTTCCCCAAAAATGTTCCATACTTTTAATTTTCCAAGCTTTCTCCTCAAAATATACCACTGATTACAGTCAAATATTGTCAGAAATTAAGCCTCTGACAGCAAAGGTTTTGTCCTCAAACATGATTAGATAAAGACCACTTTCTCTAACAAGTGGTCTAAAAAATGAAATGCAAGTAGTGAATCATTTTTTTGACAATAATGTTTGAATACCATAAAAATGTTTCATATTAAATGCACTAGTATTTGATCACAAGACTGCTGGCAAAAGCTAGGATCTTATAATAAGCAGGAACTCCGGGTTTGAAATGTCTTCCCATATATCGTTTATTTATTATATAATGATTGGTTATGAAATAATGGTTATGAAATAATCGGGATAAAAATTTTGGAAGAAAACAATGAATGAAATTTAACATCACAGTTATTTTGAAAACTAAGTAGAACATGTTCTTTTCGGTAGCTTGGTAATTTTACAAGAGAATATTCATGATTCCATCCTGCTTTTGGTAATTGATAAAATTAATGTGTTTTCTTCAGCGGTTATCGCATGCGAACCTTCTAAATTTCGTCCATTTTAGGGATTTTCCTATGTTAATACACTGTATAATTTGAGTAATGCCACCACTAGTATTTAGGAACCCAGTTTGCAGTGCTTGTTCTGCCCTACTGCTCTCCAAACACCTGTGAAAATCTTATCAGCAAGGTGCAAATCGACTGGTCTATATAGATTTTAATAGAAATCTTAAACCTGGAGCCTCCACCCCTTTAAGCAAGTTGATAGAGCTACTGTAACTTGCATTATGTTAAGATTTAAAACGAAACAAAACAAAATGTAATTTTTATCTAAGTCTATGTCAGAGAGATTTCATGACAAGTTGAGCAGTGTTGTACATCAGGTCAACTTTATATATCAAAAAATAAGTTCAGGTACTGTGGTCCAGTAGTTTGTAAAACTGTTTTGATTGAATTAATCAGTCATTTATCTTACAAGGTGATTTTCTCTAAAATGTGTTTTCAGAAATTATATTTTTTTAAAATGGTCTTCCTCATGATATTACACCAACCATCTAAATACATAAATAGCTTATTCTTCATGTTTCGTACCACCAGACTATTTTGTAATTACACCTCACTTTCAATTTACTGAAAAAAACATTACAGTATTATTAATGGATTTTCTTCTTGCTGCCAAACCTCTTCTGCCTCTGTCTCCACATATGTGACATCATGGTAGGGGCAGCTACAAGATAAAATACAGTAATGAAAGCATTAATGTTAATAATAATAATATTAATAACACTAAAAAACAACAATGGCATGACAACAAAATTTAATATACACAACTTGACAGGTATGATGAAAATACAAAATGTTTTTACAAAGTATACATTATGTTTGCATGGTAAAAATAGTAATATACAGGTGAATTGAGTTTGGAATATGTATATCTAATGATATTTAGTTTACTGTATATCCTTTCAATATGTCAAATCCCAAATCCGATTTCAACTTTAAAAAATAGACTTTGAGGAGTTAAGACTTAATCAACAAAAACTGAATTCATTACTCCGACACCACCATTTCCATCGCTTAAACATATTTCAGTTGAAATTAAATCCTTCATGACCATGAAAAATCTTGGCGCCATATTTGATCAGACCCTTACTTTTGATAGCCTGCGAGATGAGTCGATTTAGTGCACATATTTTACCATTGGTCTTAATATGATTTTTGTGCGGGACATACCATGGTACACCTGAAACACCAAGTCTTTGCACTTTGATGTCAGAGGTCAATAACCTACTTTTTTTTACCAAATTTGACCAATATCTATATTTTAAGGCACAGTATTTGATAACATGCATCAAAATTAAATTTTGGCTCATTTTAAAGCTGAGGAATCAAAGTAAATATTGATTATCACCAAAAGTGATTTTGGTGATTATTTTTTTAAATAATGAGAAAAAACTCCATATATTTATCATTTTTTGCTAAAACTTCATATTTCTATTTTGATTAATTACCAATATGGTAAAATTTACAAATACTTCAGATTTTTGTCTAATCAACTTTAAAAACTGTCTCTACTATAAAGGATCATATAACGAAAAGAATTTTGATTTTCCTTTGCACATACAGGTTTTAATAAGCAAATAAGTTATTTTCACTCATTTTTCGTAAAAAATTACACAAAACACTATCTCGAAAACCACTTGTCATAGAGAGCTAAATTATGTATCAAACTGATGGAAAGAATCATGTTTATATTCGACATAATGGAAGTCTTAGTCAAAAACATGGTGAAAGTTGGCAGAAATAAAGAAAATAGTGATTTTCACATATTTTTGTTAAAAATTGGTGAAAAAAATCACAAAAATGCTCTTGAAAACCACTTTTTATATATAGATAGCTAAATTATGTATCAAACTGATGGTAAAATTCATGTCTATATTCAACATAATGGAAGTCTTAGTCTAAACATGATATAAGTGCACAAAAGCAGAGAAAATATTAATTTTAACTTGTTTTTATTTTAAAAATCTCAAAAATGCTATCTCAAAAACCACTTGTCATAGAGAGCTAAATTATGTATCAAATTGATGGAAATACTCATGTTTATATTTAACATAATGGAAGCCTTAGTCAAAAATATGGTGCAAGTTGGTAATAAATTGAGAAAATAGTGATTTTCACTCATTTTTGGTAAAAATTGTTGAAAACCCGCTATCTTGTTAACCACTTGTCATAGAGAGCTAAATTATGCATCAAATGGAGGTCGTAATTATAAACAAAAGTTGGGAAAAAAAGAGAAAATTGTGAATTTTATTCATTTTTGGTAAAAAAAATTATTTTGTTAAAGTGCTTTTCATAGAAAGGTATCAAACTGAAGGCAAAGGTCATGTTTATAATCAATATAATAAAGATCTTAATCATTAACATGGTGGAAGTTGCCAAAAATAGAAAAAAAAAATAGTATTTTAATTAATTTTTGGTGAACCAAGTTGTGAGGCATTACACCCAAAGTAAGGTCATTTAGCTTCTATTAGTGGCATCTCCTACCACTACAGAACAGGGGCAAATGCATGTGTTTCCAGGCTAACGTAATTTATATCTGGCACACTCGTGGGTACTGATTTATTTGACTGCTGCAGAGTCTTTCCACACCCCACCTCACCCCTCCACTTCAGCAAACAGGATCTGCCATTGTAGAGCATTTAATAAACGAGAAAGAACAATAGAAACAATTCTGTGTTTTAAAATTGTCCAATGGTGCCACATCTCCCAAGCCCTGGCCTACCTAGCCTAGCATTCTTTGTGCACCTATGCCTACCCTATACACCTGGCCCCTAGGCCTAACTAGGCCCCAGCACAGGCCCCTAGCATCAATTCAGAATCTGAATGCTCATATGCCAATATTCAAATCTAACTGATAAATTTTATGAATTTTATACAACAAATTCATATCTTACCGATTAGGCCTACGTACATGCACTGAGGTCCTATCTTACTCAAGGCTCATGATACAATTACAAAGACATTAAGTACACCACCAACACCATCAACATATCATACTTCTGGTATTTATTATTACCCTACAGCCTATCTTCACAATGATTAACAGGATTTTTATGCGCAACTCATTATTTTGTTTATTGAAGAATAGGGTAATTGACGGCGCCATTCTAATACCCTTTCTATGGATGCCAACCAGGTAACTTATATTGTAAAATCTACATAATAATATTAAATTTTGCTATTCTGTAGAAACAAGATGACGCTGGGTTACAAATTCAACAATTTATTGCACATATATATATAATATATATAGAGTA